CATCAAATAAAATTCATTAAATTAAATAAAATTCATCAAATAAAATTCATTAAATTAAATAAAATTCATCAAGTAAAATTCATTACCAAATGAATAAATTGAAAAAGTAGCTTATAACTCATTTTGGGAAAATAAAAATGATATTATTTTCAAGTATTTGTGGGCTAATATTTTAGCACATATTGTTTAGTAAGTACCTATGAAATAAATTTAAGAAGTAACTTATAAATTTTTTGAAAGAAAAAAAAAGGCATTAGTTTCCAATTTTTTTCCCCCTAAAATTTAAGCACACACTATTGAATCAAGTACCAAATGACCATGGCCGTCCGCAGGGAGAGTGGGGGCAGAGGACACTTGCCCCCCTGGAAAATGAGAAACTTATTTATTTATTCAGTATATGTATATGAATTTTTTTATTCACTTCACAATACCTTGCCCCCCCCCTCCCCTGGAAAAAGTTCTGCGGACGCCCGTGCAAATGACTAAACAGTAAAGTACTTGTAGAACTATGAATATTAATTTCGGGCCTCAGCTTATAAATGAGCAAATATTGGTCCCTGTGTCAATGATGAACAGTCTCCGCATAAAAGAGACCCCGAAATTAATGTTAATTGTGCAAGTATTTACTGTAGAGGATATGAAAATGTAGGGAACAGGTTTGTTCGTACCAAATGGTTACATACAAATAAGGGGCTTATAAATCATTATGTAAAGTTTGAAAGTTAGTTTCACTTGGTCTGGGGCTAACATTGAAACACAAAACCACCTAATTAAACCAAACTCACAAAATGGCATATAAATTATTCTGAATTTTTTTCACACATTTTACAAGTGATTTTGAGGCTAACATTCAGGAACAAGTTACTTAGTATGTTCCAAATGATAAACATTCATGGAAATCACAGTTTCCCGATTTTCTTCTACCTTTGAGTATACTGGACAACGCCCTCTGGAGTGACCCGGAGAGTGATGTGGACTGGAACCAGGGGATACTTGAAGTCGCCATGTTTGATGAAATACGTTTCCGGTATCCATATTTTACCAGCATGTGTTAAAGCATTCAAACTTTTATGTCGGCCTTCATTATTATACTTCAACCTTGGGTCCTCCCAAACCTGATGCAACAAAAATTCCACTTCATACCGCTGAAGTATAAAATAAATAAATAAGAATAAAAATTAATCAAATATTTTGTGTCATAAAGTTTTAATATATATATATATATATACATGAATAAATATGTTATCCTTTCTTCATACGACTACATCCTATCATACACGTGTTTATATATAACCTGATCATTTCAGATTATTCACCAGCACTGAAGAAATTCAGTGTTTATTCTGTAATATTTAATTAAAAAAATTACTCTGGTGGCGGGCAGAAATAGACTTGTAATTTTAAGAGCACGTGGTTTTTGCACGTTTCCGATTCACTCTTCAAAAGCGCCTGGTCATTTTATTCTTTCGTTGCATCATATCACTGCTTTTATTCATAAAATGAAACTGCTAAAATGTTACATAACGATGAACCTTTATCCGTGCAATTTGAGTTTAAACACTACAGATGGCACTAGTTTCGTAAAGATAAATGGCACTGCTTACCAAACTTGATTCGTCTGGAGAAGACAATGTGAGGAGAGTCACTGTGACGTTAACGATCGTTTCATCTAGATTACAAATGAAACAAAGTTGAAAAAAAAAATCTGTTTTTATAACTTGATAAATATTGCACAGTTTGAAGTCGATAATTATTTAAATTGTATGCTTTAATTGTATTAGAACCTCATTACTAATCTGAGAAGGCTAACTATGGCCTAGTGGTTATCGTGACCGAACTGCAAGTCTGAAGACTTATGGATTACGTGGAGCGGTGATGCTCTATAAGAGTGGCAGTAAAATCCCACTATTCTATTAGAAAAATGTAGATCAAGAGTTGATGATGGACTGTTGACTAGCTAACTTTCCTCTGGCCTATTAGCTCAAAATTAGAAACAACTATGTGCATGTAGCCCTGGTGTAGCTTGGCGCGAAATTTTGACAAAATAAGCTGAGAAATCAAAGCACTGCAAGAATATATCGCGCATAGCATATAAGCTCACACATTCCCACCCCTTGATGAAAACGTCTTACACACGCAAGATGATGCAGAGCACAAGTCTTTGAAGATTAAAAACTAGATGTACTTCCTTTTCAAAAGTAAATAAAACCAAAATTAAGAGTAACAAGTAGTATTATTTCTTGCTTTTGAAGTTCATATGTCACACTGTGTTGTAGCGTACAGAGTACGTAATTCTTCTAGTAATTCATGGCATGCGCACGTTTTACTGACGCCACGACAGTAAAAATTGCAACGTTAAGCGTCCCTTATGTGAAGTCATTTTAGTCCCTACTGAGTAGTGCGCTGTCAGTCAATCGGTTTCAACAAACGAACAAACAGACGAAGGCTTGTGAAGTCGGGTGCGCCCAAGTAGCCGCATTCTCCTTGGTCAGTAGTTCAAAAGTAAGGATAAATATTCCTGAATCCTAGGGGTCTCTGACATAGCCATTTAACTCACGTACACACAAGGTTAAAATTTCCAATTCGTTCTGTTTGTTACGTGTTAAAAATCCTAGTATTGCTACTACCTCTCAGTACATTTTCTGTGATCTTTTACGAAACTCGCCTTTGATTAATGTGTACGACGTTTCTTGTTTTATCCTTGATTAAATTGTTCATTTGTGAAAAAATAAAGATATTGGTCAAGCCCTCCCAAAATTAGTCGGGAATCATTTCCCCGAAAAGGAGCCGAAGGCCGCCTGGAGGAGTCACCTGTTTTAGCCAGTAGTGCGCTGTCAGTCAATCGGTCAGTAGGGACTTGGAGGAGTCACCTGTTTTAACCAGTAGTGCGCTGTCAGTCAATCGGTCAGTAGGGACTTGAAGGAGTCACCTGTTTTAGTCTTTCGCGCAAGCTACACGAAGGCTATTTGCGCTAGCCGTTCCTAATTTAGCAGTGAAAGACTAAAGGGAAGGCAGCTAATCATCAACACACACCGCTAACTCTTAGGCTACTCTTTTACCAACGCATAGTGGGATTGACCGTTACGTTATAATGCCCACCACTGCTCAAAAGGACGAGCAAGTTTGGTGTGACGGGAATTCGAATTCGCGATTCTCAGATTGGTCCAGATGCAAAGAGAATGAAATGGCAAGACATCGAGGAAAGTTGGTGTTTATTCCAAATTATGAGAGTTTGGTAAAAACACAAAGAAAGGGTACGTATAATAAGATTAAGCTGAACAGTCTTTCCTTTGTACGCACACCATAGATTTCTTTCTTCACTTAAAGTAGCCTATTTCTATAATAACAACAGTTATTGTTAAAGGGAAGACACAAATGTAATATCTCATGTAAGTAAATTACAATGTTCAACTGTGTATATCTATATCTCTTCCTGTGGGACAGCGGTAAGTTTTCGGATTTAGAACGCTAAAATCAGGGGTTCGATCCCCTTGGTGGATACAGCAGATAGCTCAGTGTGGCTTTGCTATAAGAAAAACACACACACACACACCCTTTTACTTAGGAACTAAAAGAGACAATTTACAAAAAGTTTGAGGTTAAGCCCAAAGCTACACAATGGACTATCTATGTTCTGCCCACCATGGGTATCGAAACCCGGTTTCTAGCGTGGTAAGTCCGTAGACATACTGCTGTTCCAATTTACAAGAGGATGGAGTTTGCTTTTTCAACAAAGAAGGTTTTAACGTGAATAAATCAACATGAACAAATGCCAAAATTTATTATTATTTCGGAAAAAGAAGTAGCACCACTAATTGGAGTGTGGCGAAGACTAATTAAATTATTCTTAAGAAAATTAGAAGTTGAATTAAAAAAAAAAAGTTATAACGGAAGTAAAATGTTTTTTGGATGTTTTAACTGGTCTTCTTACATTTGTTTATGGACATTTAAGAAGAAAACAGAATCAGGGTAATGGATTGAAAGTCGAGCCGAACTGCTAAACGAATTGGTTTGGTTTGTTTACGATATTCGTACAAAAGCTTCACAAAGGCTATCTGCGCTACCTGTCCCTAGTTTTAAACTGATAGAACTAAAGAAAAGAATGGTAGTCAACAGTACCCACCGCCAACTCTGGAGCTACTCTAATCAATTAGTGAGATTTCACTGTCATTCTTATAAGGCATACTGGCCCCAAAATGCGAAACAGGTTTTTTTTTTTCAGTAACGAGACAAGGGCTGTGAACCTTCTGATACACAAATCGGTATGCTAATTACTAGGTCATATCCAGTAGAACGAATTGGTATAGCAAAGATATATCTGTAAAATCAATAAACAAACAATTTCAAGAATTCGAGTGAAGTACAGACAAGATGGTTTCAAGTGAATTCCCCATCTAATAAATTGTTAAATCGGTTTCTTTTAAGATTGCCTAATATAGTATTATACCTAAGTGTCAATAAATATACCTAATAGAGTATTATACCTATGATATATTAGTATTATACCTAAGTGTCAATATACATATATATATATATTTCGAAATGAGAATCTCTTTACCTCACGTAGTGGCGGGAAATAATAATATACATCATATCACTTTTAGTACTATGCTGGGACAGCGTTAAATCTACAGATTTACAACGCTAAAATCAGGGGTTCGATTCCCCCTCGATGGACATAGCAGATAGCCCCATGTGGCTTTGCTATAAGAAAAACACACACACACGCCTTTTTTTTTCTCATTTACTACGAGGTTAGTTGGAAATAAATAAGGGTGCAGATATTCAAAGTATCGTATACTGATCGATTCAAACTTATTAGATAAATACATATGTTCATCTTACCTTTTGGTCGCACTCTGAAGTCATATCTAACGGGATCTAACAAATAGTCCAAAATAGTTTTGTCGGAACGGTTATGGAAGCTAAAGGGGAACAGTAAAAACAAAATAAAATCAGTTTTAAGATGGCGCTATAATTTGATTGTTTGTTCGTAATTAAGCACAAAGATACACAATTGGCTATCTGTGCTCTGCCCACCACGGGTATCGAAACCCAATTCTTAGCGTTGTGAGTCCGCAGACATACCGCTGTGCCACTGGAGGGGGGGGGGGGGCTGGTGCAGTAATAATCGAGAATATTGTAAGTTGCCGATCTATGCTGTTAATTTATTTAGTAGTAATGTAAATGCCACTGGGGGGGGCTGGTGCAGTAATAATCGAGAATAATGTAAGTTGTCGATCTATGCTGTTAATTTATTTAGTAGTAATGTAGGCATTTTGTTATCATAATCACGTAGAAAGATACAAAAAGTCATTGAACGAAAAGGGGAGGTTATTTGAGTTTATTCTATTAAAAATAAAATCCAAATCCATCTATATGTAACAAATATTAAAATTTACCTGAAATTATCAAAAAAAGTGCTTTACTGAATTAAAATCAGCGATAATTAGTTGTTATTTAAAGAAAAATAGAGTATTTAGGTTGTGTTATTTTGATTCTTTATTTTCGAGGACATTTTCTGTTTCAGAAACCGATAACGATAATAAACAAAAGACATGAGATTAAAAAAGATTGATAAATCGCACTTAAAAGACCCTATAAAACCTAGAATTGTGGTGTGTTTTCGACAGGTGCTTTCCAAAACAAAGGAATTCTGCCTGGTGCAGTCAATTCCATCTGTCGAACGGGCTAAGGTTTTATTAGGATTTTTTAAAAGTAATATTTTTTAAAAGCTTTGTTTGTTTGTTTGTTGAATTTCGCGCAAAGCTACACGAGGGGCTATCTGCGCTAGCCGTCCCTAATTTAGCAGTGTAAGACTAGAGGAAAGGC